TTCAGGCGAAAGGATTTCGCCCTTTTTGGATTTATAGTCTGCCCTCGCCAACTATTGTTACGAAGACATGTAAAGGGAATGGCACCACCCAAAGTTTTAATATTGAATTATCTCACACGGGCATACTAATGGATGATATTCATTGTCAGTTTTATTCTGAGGCCTTTATTCTGTTGCCGGTGTCGGATGGCTATACGAATGTGTCGCTCACCAGCAACCAGGTTCTACCCCCACACCTGCCCGAGCTGATGTCGCCTGAGGAACGGCGCCAAATCACGCACGATGAGTTGCGGACACGCCGTACACTTGTGGCCCTGGAGACCGTCGCGCGACAGAGTTCGCACGTCAACCAACAGCCCTATGTCGAGCTGAGAGATCTCCTGGACACCGTGTCTACTGATGGGGCTATGACGAGCCAAGTAACTTGGTTGTATATCTTGTTCGCCTTCAGCATTATCCTGCCATTTGTAATCCTCACCCTTAAATACTGGCGACGTCCTATAACCCTCCTGATCCGGAGAGTTCTCCCATGTACCACTGACCAACGACCATATGCGTCCCAGACAGCGAATCGACCGGCCGCACGCAGAGTCCCAGCTAAGGACTCAGGGGTGACCAATCGCTTTGGCTCTGTCGAAACTCCCAATGAGAATGTGGGTGACACGGCGTCACATTCCGCTGCGTCACTTGGGGCGGAGGCAGAAACGGTATCCGGACCAGCTCCAGCTGCCCAGCCAGAGGCCGCTGAACGAACGTACTTCGCTCAGCCCGGAAGATTTCAGCTCCTGAACTGAGCGAGAACGACCACACGCAGAGGCCCAGAATAACTGCGGCCATAAATGAGTGAATTATTTGAACAATTAAAGGAATCACCCATGAACTTTGCCACTGTTTAAATTTGTATTTTCTTTCTGCATACTCCGCATATACTGTTTGAGTATTGTATTTACTATTTTTGTTGATATAGTAGCTAACTGTTTTTGTAAACGCTCACGTGGTTACAGCTTGGTGTTCGTTGTGTTTGAGAAATCGGAGAGGTGGATGTGAGATGCAATGGACCAAGTGAGTCAAGGTGGTAAGAGGTCTGGATGAAAACCTCAACTCGTTTTTCGCAACTTGGGAAAAAGCTGAATCTTGGAATTGAGAAAACAGGCCGTTTCAGGCACTCTGTTTCTAGCAGTTTCCAGAAACGAACGAGCAGAGCAAAGTGTGCCTGTGGAAAACCTTGGGATGGCGCCAGTGTTCTTCATGTGCATCATGTTTAGTGCGAGTGAGTACTTGCCCGTGGTCGGGTCACTGATGACTTATTAGAACTTCTGGTTTCAATTATTTTGGTGGGTTAATGTGTTCTTAGAATGTAGAGGTGTATAAGTGTTTTAATTTGATTATATATTCCATTTTTGTTGTTGTTTGGAGAACTCGAGTTTTTGTGACCCTCCTAGTGAAGCATGTTTTCCACAGCATAGGTTAAGTGATAGCCACGGACGTCTGATAGGGGGTGAGTACAGTCACTGCCCCCTATCCGGGCACAACAATATACCTTATAGTAAGACAGAGTACAATAGGAGAATACCCGTTACACTTGCCTCCTTCCTGCCTCGACTGGGAAAGGTCAGCTTGCCAGGTCATAAATGCTGCATTTCACAAATTTTCATCTTTGTAACTGTTAGTACAGTCCAGTCAAAAATATGGTTTTTAACATGAACTTCATGTACTTTAACTCTATTCCACATTGAAGCAACAGTCCAGCCTGAAATTTATTTTGTAATACTAAACATTATGGAGCCAAAATTTTACATTATATCAAAGAATTGTTTCTAAAATATGACCTTATTTCAAAATTATGCCAAAATATGCTGTAAAACCAATAAAACTCTAAAATATGCATTTATATGCACAATAAAAACGACATAATTTCAATAATAATGACTGGAAACATGCATAATAACATTTAAAAATAGGAATAAACCCTAGGAAAAAAATATGACATGTCATACAAATCCGGGCCCTAGTTATCACAAACTATCACTGTTTGTCACACACATCCAGGTACTCTTTCCGCGACTGCTGCTATATTTCATGGTGCCACTCCTTAACACACACTGACTGTGTCACCGTTGATCACACACTAACTCTCGCTTACTGCTCAGCCGGCTTTTTATTCTGTTCGCTGTTGCCTGTTTCCCGTGTCAACAGGGGCGTTGTGTGCCACGTCACAGTGCGGGAGGAGGGGGCGGAGCGCTGACTCACCTGCTACGTCGCCGTGGCCAGAGCTGCCACGTCACTGCTGGGGGAGGGAGGGGGGGTCCTCCATTGTGCAACATGTCACAGTATATTTATATAATATTACAAAATTTTTCGAGAAATGTTTATAGGTCAATAATATGATGTTACAGTACTCCATATGAGAACTGTTAATAAGATTCTGTATTTTAAAAGGAAGAATTTTAATTCTGTGAAGCAAGTGACTGTAGGAAATGAGAAACTATGGCGCTTCTTCAGGTTTTATATATATTCTTTTCATAATATTACATCTTGTTAAAAATCAAATAAAAGAAAACCTATATAGTGCCAGGATTTGTAAGTATGTAACAAGATATAATGTTCACTACTTCACTCACGGGTTGGTACGTGTCGTATATCTCACTGCAATTGCAGTGCACACAAACAGATAAGTACCAATCAAGAAACATCATAAAATTCGGTTTAGTATTTAGTACAAATTACTCTTATGGCTGGTAGATTCTAAAGGGTTCTGATGATGGTGTGTAACACTTGGAATTACTGGGTTTTTGGACTCTTTCCACCATCTGGTATTCTAAAAAACACATTTCCAAAATTGGATCCGTTTGTCTTCAGGTGAAGGGTGGGAGACACCTTCCCTGTTGGGTCCATTAGAGCAATTGAGGTTAGCTCTTTCTAATGGATCTAACAGAGCAGTTATCTGCCACCCCTTCATCTGAGGACAGAAACAGATCCAGCTTCTGAAACGTTGTGTTCTTTGGTGCTTTTTAGAATACTGGATGATGGACAAAGTCCAACACCCAGTAATTCTGTGTACTTTTATGGTTCCTATATCACTTTCCAGTCATGTTACAATCAGTTGTATACATACTTTTACATTATTATATTTAAGCATCCTGTTACACCCTACACAATGTATGACACAAACTCCGTCCGAAGTGCAACAATTTATTGTAGTTCTTACTCTCACGTAGCTGTTACACTGCATGTAGTTTAAAATTTAAAAACAACAGCTTTCTTAATTGTTCATTTCTCCATTGTTAATAGATCCCGATATATCAGAATCCTCTTGCTGATATTTGTCAGATATGTATGAAATCTTTGCTAATTTACGTATGTCAATTTGATTTTTGAATTTTGGTATTTTTAAAATCTTCAATTTAAATTTAAAAATTTTTTTAAATTTAAAATTCGCAGGGATACCTGCTCTAGGTCTACAGTTCTGCAGCGGCTACTTCTTGCTTTCAGCACTGTTCAGGTATTATTCTGTGTAGGCTCCGTGTGCGTGCTGCTGCTTATCTTTAATACGTGTCAATACACGTATTATAATATATAATACCTGAACAGTGCTGAAAGCAAGAAGTAGCCACTGCAGCACTGTAGACCTAGAGCAGGTATCCCTGCGAATTTTAAATTTAAAAAAATGTTTAAATTTAAATTGAAGATTTTAATAATACCAAAATTCAAAAATCAAATTGACGTA